GCGCTCCTCTCCGTCACCATGTTTGAGCCGGCCTCGGAGGCGGCGAGGGCGACGCTGGCTCGCGAGACCGAGGCGGACCTCGTGCGCGCCTTTGCCGGCGAGAGCCGCCGGGCTCCCTCGGCGGTCGGCCGGTCTGCCCTGCTGCTTGCCGAGGACGGCGACCGCCTCGTCGGCGTGTGCGGCCTGCAGGCCCTCTCCCTCACGCCGGACGGGCGCGGTGAGCGGCTCCTCTCGAGCATGCGGAGAGAGGAGCGGCGCTCGATGGCGGTGAGGCCGCTCCTCTCGAACCTGGCCGTCCTCCCCGACTTCCGCAGGAAGAGGATCGGCAGCCGACTGGTGGCGCGCGCCGAGGCGCTGGCGGCGGAGTGGGGCTTTGACGAGCTGCTCCTGCTGGTCGGCGAGGAGAACCGGCCGGCGCGCGCGCTGTACGCGGAGCTAGGATACGCCGCGGAGGGCGTCTGCGACGGCGAGGAGTGCTGCGCCGATCCGTGGTGGTGGCCGGGGCGGGGCGTGAGCTGGGCGCCCTGCAGGAACGTGTGCATGCGGAGGACGGGCCTCGCCGATGAACAATAGTGACCTCATGAGATACCACGGAGGCCCTTCCCTTCTTTTATCATTTGCCTGTGTTAGTGGTAGAGCAGCGCCAGTCCGCCCTGTTCCGAGCCTTCTAAATAAATAAATAAATACAACGGACATCCCAAGCTAGGGCTGGGTCGAGGACAGACACGTCCCCACCTTTGCAGGATTTTGCAAAAGCGAGGGGGGAGGGCGCATCGCCGCGCGGAGAGGGCTGGGCACAGGGCACAGGGGATCTCTCTCGCATAGGATATGCACTCGGCGGCACGAGGGCAAGGCTGGGCGTCCTATGTTTGTGCTCCCCCCCGGACCCCTCGCTCTCGGGCACTAACCATCTGACCACTCATCGACGGGGCTTGGCGAGCGGCCGCGCTGCGGGGCAGGGCTGGTGAGAATGGGCTCTGGCCACTCGCCCGTGCGGTTGTAACCCCGCATCTGTCGGACAGAGGCCTCGACCGCCCCTCGCGGCAAGCTCTCGAGCATCTCGAGCAGCTCGCCCGCCGCCATCGCCGCCTCAAACTGCTCCCTCATGCCGAGCGCGCCGCATACCCTGCGGACCGCCTCCTGCTGCACCTCGCCTTCCGAGCCTTCTGATTTACTTTCCAATATCGCGGAAATTCTTTTATCACACGGGTGCACCCCAGTGTCTCTGCCACTGCGCGCCAGTCCAGTGTCGTGCGAGGGCGCGCGCGCGCACACTCTACAAGTGACAACAAACAAGTACACTTCCAGAAAAAGCGGCGCTGCGAAAAAATGGCGCCGATCGACCCCGACGCCGTCCATCCACTCCTTCCCACGCCCTACCGCTTCACAAACGGAACCGCCACTCTCCGCGTCGACCCGGGCCGCTTCGCCTTTACGCTCGCCGCGGCCACCGCTCCGTCCGAGGTGCTCAGCGCAGCGCTCGCGCGCTACCGGCGCATCATGTTTGCGTGGGGCAGCGGGAGCTCGCCGGCCACCGCCGCGACAACGCTGACCGACTGCTCCGTCTCGGTGGCCAATTCCAGCGACGGCTCCTTTCAGCTCGGCGACGACGAGAGCTATTCGCTGCGAGTGGCCGCCGACGCGGACTGCCGCCTGTCGGCCAGGACGGTCTGGGGCGCGCTGCGCGGCCTCGAGACTCTCTCCCAGCTGGTCGAGTACTCTCCGTCGGACCGCTGGTATGAGCTTCGCAAGGCGCCGTGGCAGATCGATGACAAGCCAGCGTTTGTGAGCCGTGGCGTGATGGTCGACACGGCCCGGCACTGGCTCAGCGTGCCGGCCCTGCTCCGGCAGATCGACGCGCTCGCCTACAGCCGGATGAACACGCTGCACTGGCACGCCTCGGACGAGGACGCCTTCCCGATGGGTAGCACAGCCTTCCCCGCGCTCGCCGCGCGCGGCAGCTATGCGTCCGCCGTGGGCGTGAGCGCGGGCTTGTACAGCGTGGCGGACCAGGAAGCGGTCGTGCAGTACGCGCGCATGCGAGGCGTGCGCGTCGTCCTCGAGCTGGACTTGCCCGGGCACGCCTCCTCGTGGGCCCTCGCGCGGCCAGACCTCTTCGTGCGGTGCGGCCGCGGCCCGGCCGGCGACTACGGCGGCCGCGCCTGGCTGCTCGACCCGACGCTGGAGGCGGCTGTGGCGCTCCGCTCGCCGAGCCGGTCGCGGGAGCCGTGACCCTTCTCGGAGCCTTGCCCGCAGGCGACGTGGCGCTTCCTCGGCCAGCTGATCGCAGAGTTCGGCGCCCGCTTCCCCGACCGAGTCATGCACTTTGGAGGCGACGAGGTGGACGTGCGTTGCCTCAACCGCTCGGCGAGCGACACATTCCGAGACAGTCAGTGGCACGCCCGCAGCACGTCTTTTGACGCGTCCACGACTCGTCCGCCAGGCGTCGGTGCGCGCGTGGATGCGGGAGCAAGGCGCGACCGACTTGCGTGACGGCTCGTCCCCTTCGAGAGGAGGCGCGACGCGGCCGCGGCCGAGCACGGCAAGGAGGTGCAG